ATCGAAACGAAAACCCCAAAGGATTGAGGTTTGCTGAAGCTGTGGCGCTTAACCGGCGTTGCCCTGTACTTTGTGTGCAGAAAATATTAAGTCTCCCTAAAGCTTCCTTGACGCCATTGACTTTTAGGGTCAAGCTCGTTGATCTGTTGATCGTACCTCTACCTAATTTCGCATTGTGACCAGTTTCAGAGGTTCTATATTTTCTGTCCCACAATTCATATTTATGTTGTTTGTTTGCGGATAATCAGATAAGATGAACTAGTTCATCACGCAGTACCAGTCTTCTCATTGCCTTGTTTAATAAAACGTCACTTTATGCATAGCTACAATAAAGTATAATCATAAAAATACAGAGCGGGAAAAGGAGCTACAAAGGGTGAGAGAGAACGCCTTGTGCAGCAAGAGTCTCCTCTGTAAATTACTTGCTTTATAGCAACTGATGTTGTCGATACTTATTGTGCATGTCGCCAGGTATGCGGAATTGTAATAACATGTAGCCAGTGGTCGTAATGCGACTAGGTTAATAGTATAAGGGGCAAGCAAGCAAGGCAAGCAAGGTGTCAGCTATACGCCGTAACGGTGCTTCGCTGCCGCGCGACCACCACCAGTCGCGCGCGGGCTGAGTATACCGCGAGGACGCCCACCCCTACGCGGATTCGAACCGGTGACTTTATGGTTGCAAAGCAAACGTGCAGACCACTCGGCCACCGGCCGAGAATAAGGAGTGTTCGGAGGACAGCAGCGCACACTTTTCTGTGCGGGCACCTGATGAATGACAATTCGTGCCATTAGGGCGCCCATCGGTCGCTTATGCGTCACCCAGCCGGCATCCATCGAACACTCACCATGCACTGGTGCTAATGGGGTAGCCACCGCTAACTTGCTCCTCACTCGATTTCTCTACCACGCGTTTCAGGTAAAGTGGAGTTTGACGACGCGAGATGTGGCTCCATGCAGTACACAGCCTATACACAACCATTATGAAGCTTGGTGTTGTCTTTGTTCATCGAGGGATGACAGAATGCAAAACAGCTGCCGTGTTCACCAACCTCTGCACAACATCTGGGCTAGCGGAGTTAGATATGTACTATCTATTTCGCTCATTTCTGATATCACGATTCGCACCTTCATCATCTTATAAAATTCGCAACATTTAACTTCATATATTCACTAAGCCGTTGCTGCATTGTTCTGTTCAGGCCGGTGCCGACCAGTGAGCACTTTTGATTCCATTCAGGGCTGGACCGAGGGGCAAGCCAAAATATGTTTGACTGACTACCCACAGATAGGTCTCCTGGATCGATTGATACGTTACCCAGCTTGGCTGTCGAGAAATGGTTTAAGCTCGCGACCATATTTGGATGAGGTCTATCAATTTATTTGTTTATTTCATCATCATATTCAGGCTAACATCTGTGGACCTCGTTGCAGCATGATAATTTCGTCTCGCGTAACGGATGCCCGTGATGACATTGGCTATAGCGCACTTATTTGCTATCCATCTCGCAGCATAAGCATCGAATGATTGACTTCTTTCTCTTCTTTAAGAGCACGAGTGCGCTCGGTTATAAGCAATATATTACGTGTTTCAATCATGAAAGCTGACGGGACTCTGGGTTGAAACTTGAGCTGCATGAGCCCAGGTTTCCCACTAAACAGATTACGTTTTGCATAGCAAATAAAAATATTCAGATAAATATTCAACCTAACTATTGAAACAAGCGTATAGCTGGTTTTTAAATCAAAAGCGCTTAGCTTGTGAAAGGTAAGGTGTGCCGGTTAGCCGTCCCCAAGTTACTTTTTCTTGGACTGCGTAGGTGGATGGCATGAGAAAATGGCTGTCAATCCTTGGGCTACCACAAACCGGACCGCAGAGCTGCACAATAGTCTGTGGAAATACCGAGCTTGATAAGAAGTGCATTCACGCAACCCGAACCACCACGCTGCGTTTAATGCAGGACTAGTGCTTTTTCAAATGTTCAAAAAGCAAGTTATTTGTATTTTAGTCACGAAGTGGGCCAGTTTCAGGCAGCTGGAGTAAAGCTGTGTCTGGAAGCATAGTTTGCTTTTGTACTTCGGCGGCCAATGCAAATAGGTGAACCGAATTTCTTGACCGCCTGGATGCATCGTGGACATACGCTGTGTCGCTGTAGAAGTACTTACACAGTTGAAGCACACAGTATGCGGTTGCCTGTCCCTTGGTGTACATCAGTTTTGTAGCACTGGTTGAAAAACTGTTTTTTAGTAGCCAAAGGCCGATTGTTCCTAGATTTATTTCATTTTCTTGACTATTCATTGTGGTATAAAGCAATGTTATATAAAAGACGGCAACCTTGCTAGTGTGATCCAAACGCCGCGTTACAATGAACCCATTTGCTAACGAATGGCTCAGGATATCGCGCGTTTCTCAGTAAGTTCCCGCATCTCACAGCACTAGGGCATGATCACGATTGTTTTCTTTCATCATCGATTACAGCTAAGACAGCAATCTTCAAACGCAATAAGAGATGGCTTAAAACACCCTTGTGGCCATTATGGAAGTCCCTAGATGACCAGCTGACTAAATACTGGAGCGGTTATCATTATTATACGAAAAGCAGAATTAGAATAAGTTTACCTTACGTATCTTACTTTACGTATGGAAACCAGTATGATAAACGAAATCTGTTGATTTGGTCTAAATGAGAAGATAAAACAGTTTGATAACCATGGGTATACCAATACATTTTAGTCGATATTTGTGTGCACAGGGTTTATACGTTTATGGTACCCAGTTCGTGTAGGTAGAGGTTGCCACAACTGCGGTGTTTGAGATACCTGCAAAGTGAAAAGAACACGCATGAAAAACAGACATTTTTGAAGGCGTTACTTTTGTTAATTCCTATACTACCTCATTCGCTCCGTCAAGCAGTTGGTAAGAGAACATTATCCCGCCAGTGTGCTTCTACTCTGACTCCAGGTAGTTTCATAAACACTGGCAAATGTGTAATATAAGACTGGCATAAAGAGCCCAGCTATTTTCGGCTAGGCAGAAGAAAAATTGAGATCTCATTCGGATTAGCTTAATTTGATAGACATTTTCATAAGGCACGATACTCGGAAGTTTCCTCGGCACTTCGTTAGTTCGTCATTATGATACAACCTAAGATGAGTGCGTCAAGGAGTTCAGCAACAGTTACCTTAATCACATGTTGCACTGTAGCTTATGACAATCTGATTCTGGAACTTAGATTTTTGATCGCAATAAAGAAAACAACCAAAATTAGCGATTCATTGTGCAGACTGGCTCCTCTTACTGATGGTGGCACCATACCGCCCCTAACGGAATTCCTTAGCTTGAGTTAAAAACGATGTTAAAATGATAACATCTATTAAGGGCCTCTAAGGGATCGCTCTCTCTCTTTCCCTTTCTCTCTCTCTCTCTCTAAATATATATATATATATATATATGTATCCATAAAGACTTAACCAATAAATATTTGGCAGAGTGCTACAACGCATGAGTAACAACAAGAAAAAGGAGGGAAAACCTCAGGGGAAGGGATGCGAAGATTCATGTGTTGTGCGGCCAGAAAGCTTCCCGTTTGCTTAAGTGACCCCACCCCGAGCCTTTGGTCTTAAACACCTGACCCGCAAGTCAGCGGGACGATTAGCGGACACCGTTGATAGCCAGGTAGCTTATTCGCCCTTTTTGTTTTCGGTTTCAGTCCACAGAGAAGCCAGTGGCCAGCAAGGTTGTTCATCCGCTCTCCATTATATATTCACCACTGGTTACAGACGTGAGTCAGGGACCCTATAGCCGGTCACATTGGTTTCGACACAGCGTCGTACGAGCTCTTGTGGTATTTGATGGAGAAACAGGTGACCAGCCCAGAACCCCTACGCTCTGAGAAGCTGCCGGTGATTGTCCACGACTGCTTATTCATCTCGGCTGCAAAGTAGACGAGACTTATTCGCAGTTACCTCCACAAGGAAAGCTTTCCCCAATCCGCAACCTGGGGACGCGCCCGATAGCGTACAGCTCTGCCAAGGGCTCCACATTGGTTTATCGTTTCAATATTGTCAAAAGCTTAGTACATTTGTTATTATCTAATGTACATATTGTTCGGAGCTATGAGTCCCACTATTCGTTCATTTGCACAAAAGTTAATGTGGGTAGTTGCCGTACTTTGGCTCTTGGTACCAAGTCTTCGCTACAACGTCTGCCACTGTGATCGTAGCTAGCAGGTTACGCAAGCGGAATGCACGCGCTTCCAATGGACTGAAAAACCAATGGGAGCAATCTGACCACGCCTTTACGTGCCCGCAGAACAGCGATGAACTGTTTTCGGTGTTGTGAGTCAAACACAGTTATGATCCTGCAAGCGAGTTGCTCACACGTGACATCAATCCGCAGCGCATGGCGCTGGTGCAATGGCAGCTGATCGACCAAGCGAGCGGAGCAGAGGGGGCCAGCGTGTGGGAAAAGCAAGCAGCACCATTGTTTCAAGCTGATCTCATTTGATCGGACAGAATCAACAGACCGGAACTGCTTTGAGGGTATTGTGAACAAACGCAACTTTCCTCTAGTCAGCAGCACGAGCAAATGAGCTCAGGTAGAGGTCTAGCACGAATCCGTTAGTGGAAGTGGTTCGAATTTGTGCAATGTATAGAAGGACTCCTTGTCTCATAATAACGGATTTTTGGGTCGCTGCCGATTCCTCGTTTTGTTTCTGGAAAGCTACCTCGAGACCACGCGCACTTGGGCAGAATCAAATTAGAAATCAGTGGGTTATAAACCAGACGCATAATTTACTCGGACAATGTCGATGAAATCACGGTAAATCGTGAAAACTGCCAGTTTTCCTCAGATAAGGTAGATATTGTGACCATCAAACGGTGAGCTATAGTGGTATTAACTAAACCAGCCAGAGTTAACCGATGAGAACTTATTGCTGGAAGCTATTAAGTGTCAAATTGGTCATTCAGACAGCTCAGCAAAAGAAAAAGGGTTGAGGAAAATGATTACGAGGGCTAAAACGATTGATAGGTATGTTACGAAATCTAGTTTAAACTGTCTTAAGATGCGCAGAAATAAACAGCTGATATTCGGTCGATTTTGAACTAGGTGATTCACCCGCTATTCGTCAAGCTATTCGTGCTGTGAGTACTCTCAACTGAGCAACGCCCTAGTCGCCTAAAAGTGAACACCATTGTGTGATTGCTGACGTCTTTATGTTTTGAAAGCTGCGCACTATTATTAGTGACCATAAAAAATGGGTGTGCTGGAATCGTATATAACTACTACGTTGGAGTAACTAACGGCCAGTATCATATCATTAGTGTTCTGCCTTTAGCAAAACGATGCCTTTGTCTGTAATGTATGATGTGAATTGTGCTTTATAAAACTTATAAAACTTTCTACATTCTCTACCAACACTCAGTTCTTACTGTTAAGCAATATACTATACTGTTTTTTAGTACCAGCACACGCAGTAAACACGTGAATCTTCGGTTACCAGTTCTCACTTCCGGCAAGTGGAATTTAACCACTAAGCTCTTGTCCATTCTATGGTGCACTACAAGTCTTCATGTAGTACGAACTACTCAAGCTGAGTAACATTCCGTGTTCAACTTCGCGCAAGTGCAGTATGTGACATAACTCATGCTTATACGCGGAAGCTGGATTAGCTACATGGATTTGCTTGTTGAGATATTTCAGGAAACCTTCTACACTGACTGACAGCCTTCCCACCGCGGTTAGAATCGCCCCATGGATAAGCTCGTATATCCGTTGTACGATGTTTGGTTGCAAATACTGTGTCGCAGGATATTCCATAATTTCCTGTCACAACTACTCTTTACGTATGAGATGCTGTCTTATAACATGAGGTCGGACAACTGAATGTGGTACCTTAACTTGGCGCTACTTTCAACGAATAATAATATAAAAGCCCTCCTCTGATAACCAATACTCCTCACACTACGGTTCAACAGGACTACAGAAGGCGCTAACTAATTGAGTGAGTCTGGTTATAATCAGGTTTATAACTACATGGATAATTTCGAGCCATGGGAAGGGTAGAAAATGATGTATGGGACATTTAGAGTTTCACTCGGCAGTCACTCACCGTGTGTGCTTGCGAATATCGTCTGTGGGAAGTGGCTGCTGGTCGTTGTCATTGGCTCCGAAACACGTTCTTCGTAACGATCTGAAGCTGTGTTTGCTTCCTCCCTTTTGCGCTGCATCCTCTGCATTTTTAACCACTTGCATGAACTAGACTCGACAACATCGTCAAGAAACCTGTCTATTCCGAGTGATGGAGTGTTCACCCGCCCAGGTCGACGACACATGGGACACATCTGTCGAATAGTGAACCATTTAAGGATGCATTCACGGCAAAAGTGATGGCCGCAAGCCAATACCCTGGACCTTACCAATAGTCCACGGCAAATAGCACAGACGAAACTCTCTTTGATCCATGCATCTAAAACATCGTCTTCGCTTATGCGTAAGGAATCAATGTTGACCATATCTGCCTCTTCTCCAAAGGAATTTTCATGTAGCAGCTCTCCCGCTTCAGCGCACAAACGATTGGCATCCTTGAATGACTCAGTATCCACAATACAAAATCGTTTACAGTGAACAACTTGCACCCCAAGGTCCACCACGTTGCATCGCTTGTTCATGTTAAAAGTTGGTAAAGAATGAGATAGCAACAATGTAGATAGAATTGATGGTTTTATATTCCTAGACCACTGACACTCAACATAAACCTGCCTAATTTATCGAAACAAGCGTTCGATTGCGATTGGTTTGCGGCGTGATGAAAACCCCTGCTAGGTTTGATACACCGTGTCGCAAACCTGTTCACCAACGTGCGTAAAGACATGTGTATGATCAAACATTCAGTATGCAGTCTGCATAGTTGTAGTACCCACAAGTAAGTTGACACGTGACGTCAGGTTACCGATTTGACGTAGCGTGCTTTTTGACCAAATCTTCCGGTGCATTCCAGTCTACAGTTCCAACGCATGAAACAAGTCATCTGTCAGATTAATGTTGACAAGTGCAACGCAATTTACGTCAAGCCGGGGGCATGGACTGCATCCTCTATTGTATTGCAATGGTGGTTACCTCGACGTTGCCAAAGTGAATCATGACACTTCTCTGTTTGTTGTCAATTGTAAACTCTGTCCCGATCGAATTGGAAGGATAACACTTTATCCAGTCTCGGTACTCTTACACCACGCCATAACTCAGCAGTTACACCAAAGTAGATTATTTGAATTACTCAGTGTCTCGTTCTAGCTACTTCTCTGCAACCCCTAATTTTACAAAAATTGACGCGTTTAAACCATTTATGTTAAATGAGTCCGGTAGTTATGTTACCCACATATCAAACAATGAAGCGATGCCATCATGCGACTAAACAGTCGAAAACCTCACATCTTGTAATGAATGACCAGATTCAGAATTACGTTACAATGTGAAAACAATGCAAGTTTTTTGAGAGGATCATTGAAGTAGTAGTTGTGAGGATGGACTGCGACGCGCTTTCTCGATGTAGACCACGGTTCGTATTTGTCAGTTCCATCACTATGACCATAGCAGTTGAAACAACTAGATGTGGGGTGATGCCCCCTCCCCGAAAACACTGCAATCCGCGACTGGTTCCGAACTAATTTGATACCATCAGGTAGAGATAGCAAGCACTCGAAACCGGGGTCTTTGTGCTGTTAACCGAAGCCTCTACCCCAAACCACCGAATCAAGTGCAACATTCTATTTTTAAGATGATATTGACCATGTTAACTAGAGTGTGCCTCACCTGATGAAATCATGCGACTGTTGTTCAAAAGATATGTCTTTAATTCTAAACGATTTGAAAAGCGAGCAATATATGTTGTGCACCGAGTGGAGTATGCATCCGTTTATAAGTGCCAGTGTAGAAGTATTGTGCTGTTATTCGCTTTGTCTGTTTAACGCTGCGACTACACTTTTCTCCCCACTATACTCCCGATATATCCTTACAGACGAATATAACCTGGATTCTCTACCCGCCGGCTGTTCTCTCATGGTACACGTACAAACTCCAAAAGATGGAGGAGCGGTTCAAGGCTTGTAGACATGGATAAAGAAGCAATTCCCACGGCAATCCAGACGACCGTGATGCACACTTGGTACTCACTCTATAGACAACTGATGCGAATCTGCTTCGGAACCTAGAAGTAAGCAAGATTTATTTAGTGTCCGGTACATCACCTTGCGGTCCCTTAGGAAACCATCGACAGCGACATCTGGGCGTTTCAATTACCTATAAACTTTGCTGCCATGAATGATAATAAAATCTTCAAACTCCTCTGTTGCCCGACATTGAAAGTTTATGTCACAATGAGGGTGTGCTTCTACAAAGGTCGTCAAATATAAGTATCGAGTGGATAAACTAGGTAAACTTGCACAGAGCTGTTCGCAAAAGAATAACGTATTTTGTGTTTATTTCATACCACAACTAATACCCTAAGTCGCCCTGCTCAGATAAGATAAGATATCTTTCCTCGTAGAGATCTGCAAGTCTTGTTCCGCAAGGCCATACATGTGCGTGTGTTAGTGGAGTATCTTGACAAATACGTGCTT